TACACTGGTATCAATGTGGGAGATGTAAACATAAAGTGAGCAGGCAAATAACCCATGGGCCTTCTTCAGATGTCTGAAATGACTGGATAAACCACATAAGGTCTAGAGTGTTCATAGTTCCTGGGATTTTAGTTCTGTACGATACTAAAAATATACAAGTATTGTGCTGGATATTTTGGCACCTAATTTTTCTAAATTTCTTATATATTGATAAGATTCTGGCATGGGAATAGATTTAAACAAGACATAACTCAATAATACCGCATGATTTCAGGAAAGGTCAATTGGTACAAATGATAAGCACATTTAAATGCTGAACAGCAAGAATCTTTTGCTTAGTGTCCAAAAAGGTTGACTGTAACCCAAACTTAGAGGTTGCAATTCTGTTAAGCTTGTGGCCTGGTAAAACTGCTTTACAATACTCCTATGGAAGCTTCATTAATCAAGCCAACGTGTTGGCTAATACACGTACATATGACAAATTAGGTCCTGTCTCAAGTTTTACTTCCAAGGCAACAGCATCAGGCACCCCAGTTTTATTGAATGCAACAGTTGTTTCTATGACCATTGGAGTCTTTGAAGCGCAGCCGCATCTTAGGACGATACTTCTCCAAATACAAAAGTTGCTTGCTGTTAAAAGCTCCCCGCCGCTTTTGTCTTATGAATTGTACTGCATCTTCATATTTCATTCCACCTTCAATTAATGCGAGAGCAACAAGCACTGGAGCTCTCCCAAGGCCTGCAACACAATGAACGGCAATACAACAACCAGGTTCTTCACGAAACTTGATTTTTACAAGATTTAACCAGTCATCAACAATCTGGTTAGACGGTGGTGCACCATCATCAAAAGGCCAGTCGAGAACATGGATGCCTTCTTTCTCCACAAGAGTAGTGTCATAAGTTGCTTCACACACTCTTACTATTGTGGTAACTCCATACTTCTTAAGTTCCTCTATAAATTTGTTTAAGGTCGCATTGGTTGGATTGTGTGTAATAAGAAATCTCATGTTCTTGTATGTGACTTCTACAGGAGCTGGGCGGTTCATTCGAGCCCTGTTAATTTAGTTAAAAAACACTCAAAAGGGTTATGAAAGAATTTAAAAAATTGAATACAGAAATGATGCAAAGAAACTGAAGTCTACTTCAATATACTCCACTTGAAATTCTCAGTGCTTTGAGGATGAAGTTGGAAGTAATGATAAATGGAAATGAACCTCCTAACAAGAAGCAGCAATTCTTCAATCCAGTAATACTGAGGCAACAGAAAGGAAGTGCACTGAGGTTTACCCCATCCAGGTCAGA